GCAACATTTTTATAAATCAAAAATAAGCTCAACTGAGTCTTATTTTACATAGTTCTCCAGGTAAATATTTTGCTAAGTTTAGTATGTAGGTCGTCACGTGGCGTTTTTTGGGCTGGACTTAGTAGAAATGGAGATAGTATCGACATATATCTCAGTTGGTAGCCATTTTTATGCGTCTTTCAGCAGTCTTGACTGATTTTTTGAGGCTAAGAGGAAAGAAAGCAAAAAATCTCTTCGTGACGACCTTCATTTTTGTCTCAAGAAGAGCTACCATTTGTTTTAGAGACTTCTGTTGTGCAGGACTGGATATTTTTGATTTATAAGTGTTCATATATAACCCACCCCATAATCAAGTACAGTCATACTTTATAAGATAAACAGATTACCTTATATAAGAAATAAATCGTTAAAAATGATAGTAGTAATGAAAGAAGTGTTATTTTTTAAAAGATAACAAAATTATAATAACAATAACAACAGCTAATTAATTATTCATAAACTGTATCCCGTAACCTTAAACACAAATAACCGAGTGCTTTGAAATGCTTTGACTATAAGAATAAACTTAAGTAATAATGCAAGTACCAGGCCTTTAAAATGCATTTTCATTATTATAAGTTAGTGACATTCAGATACAATGTATACATGTACACTGTATCTATATAGTTACAAATAGTATTCATACGGCTTTTTGTCAGCGGATAATGGATCTGTGGACTGGATTGTCAAGTTGCACGCTCAAAAATTATACTAAAGATCCTGTATATAGACTAGTATTTCAACAAAAAATACAAGGAGAGATTCTCCATTATTATAAATTTTTCTGATACACATACATGTTCTAATTATGAATTTAGAAAATATTGATTCCCAGAAAAGAGGCTTTTTCAATCATTTCTCAATTGCTGCCTATAGCAAATTTATTGCGCACTTTCCATCATTTGTTTTATAATTAAAAGATTACAACAACCCATAAGAAAAAATTACTATAAAAATGATTATTTACATAGAAAATAAAAATTTTATTATTTTATATGAAACTCACCATTAGATAGATTATAAAGTAACTGTTCATTAGTACGAGCTACACCATCCTCAAGCTGCTCATATTGAAACTGAGGATGTCTGACAGCTGGTGTAGGACCTGTCCCTCCGACTATGAAAAGATAGTCAGTTTCATCAAGTTCCAGTGATAGCATTCCACCATAGGCTTTCTTCATCATGGACTCATCATTAGGATGCAACTGAGTCCAGCTCATGGTCAGTGTATTTAGTACACTTAAACTGTTGTGGAAACAAGTATCATGACCACAAAAGCCACCATAATAATAAATATTAGAACGAAAGGTGGTACAGTAGTAGCCCACCACTCCTAATGGAGGAGTGCCTCTTGTTAGGTGAGAGGACCAGCGACCTGTTGAAAGAGTAAATTTCTCGACTGCTGAGACCAGTTTCCTCCTTTGATGTGAATCATGAAATCGAGCAAGTGTTCTAGGTAAATCAATCTGTGCCCCTGCCCAGAGGTAGAGTGACCCTCCTACTAGTGGAGTGGAGTGCCTAGCCCTCCCTTTATAAATACCTGTAGAGGAAATAGAATAAAATTAGGAAAAGAGTGAAAGCTCGGAAAAAAGAAACTAACCGTTTTGTTCTGACATGGTGTGTAGGCGTGGTCCAGCTATCGTTCATATCATTGTAGAACTTACGTGGGTGTTGTGGTCATAACACTTGTGTCAGTTTGCATGTACCTACTACATATACATATACCTGGTAGTCTACTTCCTGTTTCATATCCAGGTCCGTTTCTAGTATCTAAATTCTTTAGTAGATCCATAGATATTGGAGTAAATGATAATTTACTCTAATATCTATGGTAGATCGCACCTTAAAAATGAACTGTTGTGCATGCATGATGCGTCGAAGATAGTGTAGAAGTTAAAGATGTGTAAATTCAATCTGCAGTCTTGATTTCTCCATAAAAACAGTTCACCTGATCTCAATGGAAATTACCAGGAAAGGTTAATTAATAATTACAGGCCAAAATATCAAGACATTCTGCTGACAAAAAGGGCAGTAGATCTAAAATGGGAATAGCCTCATGCTCAGGGTTCAGTTAACACAGGATATTGGCATAGTGCTTAAAGATGCAGTACTGTAGTACAGGGAATTTTGACAAAATTACAAGGAGAGAATCCTTGCTTTTTATAATACATATAGATGCTCTTATGTTGTATAGAAAGTTTGAGTTGATTCCAATCAAAACTGTATTTTTAAAGAAATATTAAAATTACCCAAAATTTTGGGGTGAATCCTACTTGTAACGCTACCACGTTATTTGTAGTACAGGCTTATTGGCCAAATTTTGGCAAAAATGATAAGATGGGAATCCTTCATTTTCATAATTTTTCTGATACACATACACGTTCTTATGTTGTATAGAGAGTTTGAAGTGATCCTAATCAAAATTTAATCCAAAGTCCCTGTAATACAGCAATTTTTGTCAAAAATTACAAGGTAATAATTGTTCATTTTCATAATTTTTCCTGATAAATATATACTATGCATCAACTTTGAGCTGATTCTGATGAATTTTATGATTTAAAAAAGTTGCTCAAAAATTAGGCAGATGAACCAAAGTTATCCTTTCATAAAAATTGGTTAAGAAAGAATTCTTCATTTTTGTAACTTTATCTGATACATTATGGCATGCTTTTAAGCTGTGTATCAGCTAATGTTGATTCAAATTATTTGACAATCAAATTTAGATTTTTAATGAATTTTAAAAGTTAGTAGAAATTGTGCCAACAACCGAAGGAGTTTGTCAAAAATGGCTAGGAGAGAATTTCCCATTTGTATAATTTTTACATGCTCTTGTGCTGTGTATCAACACTGTAACTTTAAGCTGTTTCTGATCAAATTTACTTTTTTATATATTTTAAGGAACTACTATTGTAGTTCTTTGTCAACTCATGAAGTATGCTGTTTAGTTCACTTAGCATGCTTTGTAGGAAAGTCTGCTCATGCTTGTAGCAATTAAGATACCAGATGAGTATATTGGTTGATCCGTATCACATGATCACAATAGATAGAATTTTGAAGCACTCATTGAGTTTGCAATAAATTATCTACAATTATGTCTGGATTGAATATTAGATGAGTTTTAATTTATATGTTTACAGAAGATTAGAAATACTTTCAATTAAAGTTACTTAATAACATTTGCAGTGCTAGCTATGCATACCGGATGATTGAAGAATTATTTCACTGATGTTCAAATAAAATTATTTCCCTGATGCCCAAATAAATGTTAATTGTGGTGATGTCAAATAGCATGACCTCTCTACTCTACATCTAGCAGGTTGCTGACCACATCAAAGGTACAGACCAATATTTAATACACTTTGCTTTAGGAAGTGCTCATAAATCTACTAAAAGAAAAAATGAAGCTGCTGGCTATGTTGTGTTTTTCTTGTCTCTATTGTTAGTTGTATTAAATTGCATGCTATAATATTCTCATTGATTTTCAACTTTAGGTATCAATGCTGCTCAAGGACTGGAGCAAGAGTGTACTAGATTCATGAGTCAATCACTGGTTGGATACAGAGCAAAGAATCTGAAAAGCAGTGCAATTGGAAGTCCTTTAACTGAGACAGTCAGAGTCTTGCAAGAGTACCAGTTCAATTGTTCATCTACTATAACCAGTCTTATATTGGGGATTGATGTAAGAGCAGGTCTTAGACTTCTTCCCAGTGTCCAGCTTTTTCGAAAAATTGGTGGCAGCAGTCAATATGACCTAGTGATTGGAAGCGAGAGAGTTATCTATTATGGGACCAATAATGTCAGCACCAGTGGAGTGTTTGAATATCCACTCAATCCTCCTATACCAGTAATGAGTGGAGACCTGCTAGCTGTATCACAACCATCTCCAGCCTTTAGTATAGTTAGAGTGCATTACATTGATAATGTTCCAGGAGTCAGATTCAGTAGCAGCCAATATGCATTTGGCACTAGAAGTGGTGTCAATTTAAACAACCCTTTAATCACCAATCAGTTGATCTTAGTATATCCAGTAACAGGTATATTTATAATGCATTCTCATTGTAAATTATTATTACTATCATTAGATAACTACTGTGTTAACAGCATCAATTCAATCACTCCTTCAATTGTTAGAAAATATGGTTTTAAAGTTCACCAATCACAAATGTTTTCCAGTAGGCGACAGTATTTATATCCTGACATGCTCTTCTCTTGCAACGGATCAGTTACTAAATGGATTTTTGGAGCTGTGGATCAGAAAAACAATCAGGATGCTTTGGTGGAATTCCAGATATGGCGTAAACAAGGGCAAGGGTCAAATATCTACAGGAAAGTTTCATCTAGCTCAATATCTTTGAATAACATTACAATGATTGGTACTAATCTTTACGAGTCTACTCCTCAGACTCCAATGCAGTTCAGAAAAGGAGATGTATTTGGTGCATATATTCCTGCGGCAAGTTTAAGTCCATTTGTGTTTTATGAACAAAGACAGAGTGGTCCAATTAATGTGTTTGTATATTCTAATAATGCACTATCAATTATAGCAGAAGAATCACTGGACTTTAATGCTAATAATTTTCCACTGGTTGCAGCAGAAATCAGTAAGTAGATATGTGATATTGTGTGATTAGGAGAGCATGATGTGCTCCTGGTGTAATTTTTTTGCACATTCCTCCAAGAGTTCATGTACTCTTAATTCCTCCATAGGGGTTTCTACTAATTCAATTAGCAACAGTATTATTAGATCTACAACCATAAACAGCATGCAGCCTGTTCTTGGAACCACTTCTATATCTATTGGTAATTATTGATGCCACTGAATATTAAATGTTATTGAACATAATTATATTGTAGCCATTGCAGCCTCTTCTGAAGCTACACCTGTAATATCAGTAACACCTACCACTAAATCATCAGTAGCAGCTACTGGCGGTGAATCATCTGTAGCAGCTACTGGCAGTGAATCATCAATAACAACTACTGGTGAATCATCAGTAACAACTAGTTATGAATCTAATGTAACTGTTTTTGTTACAACAACAGGTAGGCCAGCATAATCTATAATAATTATGCATCTTTCATTTTTCCATAGCTACACCACTCTCTTCTACATCTCAATCAACAGTGTTAGCTTTAATTATTGGAGTGATAGCGGCCATAGTATGCACTGTGTTCATCGTAATATCATTAATAATAGTGACGTGCATTTGTTTGAAGAGGAAATTACCAGCTAATATTAGATCATCTGCAATATTTTCCCCCATTCCTAACACTACTAAAAATGGCAACACAGATAACAACAGCTCATTTCCTAAAGAAAATAATGATATCATTAAGAATGGTGACTCTAGTATCATTGCCATAAATGACCCAGTGTATGAATCTATTATAAATAATATGGCATATGAACCTAATATTATTACTACGAAAAATGCAGCATACCAAAGCAGTGTTTCACAGATATCTAATATATAAAGAAGTCAATGATGAATATATATAATTATTCTTAAAAAAACATCATTATTAAACTCATACTAACTTTGCCTGATAATTATGTTTTTCTTATTCTTTTTATCCTTGATTGTTTTAATTATGATATTAAACTGAAAGCATAACAATTTACAATACTTTAACTAGTACATATGCCAATGTTCAGTAGATTGGGAAGTTCAAATTTTAGCTCATCAAGCTACATGTACGTTTTAATGCTTACATCAATTGATGTATCCTTCATAAATGCTAGTTGAGACTCGAGTCTTA